TGCCGAGCTGTTGGCCACTCAGCAGTGAAGTGCCGGCCGCACAAGCACCGGAATAGGCATCGATATCGGCCAGGTGTGCAACACTCTGTTTAGCTACCTGCTAGCAGCACTTGCCAGGCGGGGGGCAAGTTGCCCTTCAGCAGTGCCAGTAGATAGTTTAATAGCACTCTCAATGATCAATGCAAAGACTTTAATAGGTGGAGAGTGTAGTCTATAGGGAGATGGTGGTAAAAAGAAAGTGCACGCAGAGTCCCTACAAGAAACAGATGATCTTAGCAAACAAATTTAATTCAAAGTTGTCTGAAAATTTTCAGTTTTAAGAATTGAATCGAACTTGTGGTAAGTAAGTCAAAGTTTGATCTGATTTTTGGCATATAATTCAGCAGACACTTGAAATTATTTTTATACTGAATGTATGGGAAATCAGGGTCTTGGGAATAATGCTTTTGTTAATAGTATATAACATGCAGAAGGAGGCGTGGCATACCCCACAAATCTTGATCTGAGCGACCAGCTGGGTCGATTTAGCCCTGTCCACCTGTCTCACTGTCTGTCCTGTTAAATATTTAAATGTTATTAAAAAAATCTATATTTTATTTATTTTATATTACCTTTATTTTAAATTGTCAATTATTAAAAATTTTATTTAATAAAGATAAAAATTCAAACATCTTTAATCAAGATTCCATTTTAAATATCAATGATGGCTAAAATTGTACCTAACACATAAAACGGCTTCTTTTTTATCAAAGGTTTTTCAATTTAAATGAAATCAATATCAATATTTAGGTATATTATATATAAATATAATAAGTACTTATGTCTGTCTGTGTACTTTAGCAGCGACTGCCTACATTAATTTGGGTTAAGATCCCGAAAGTGAAAAGCAATTGTTTGCCAATTAATTTGATGGTCAACAATTCCTAATAAATAGACCGCACACACACAAAGAGAGGGTCACACAGAGAGAAGGAGAGGGAGGGAGAAGGAGAAGGAGAGACAGAAACATTTGGGAAATTGCTTTGGCACAAAGCTTCATTTAATGCCCATGCTCAGTCTGGGCATTCAATCAATTAATTTGTCATTTGATGCTGCTTATCAATCATTAATTTCCGCTCAACGCGAATAAATTGGGAATCTGAATTGGAATTATTGAGGCCCACCTGAAACTAACAATCTCAGCAAAGCTCATTTGTTAATGTAGTTTTTACACTTTGCTGGGCGGCAGCGGATATCGTTGATTGTGTTGATAAAGCTTTATAAGGTCTTTGTATAGATATGTATATAGATAAATAATTCATGGCAAAGATTCTCAGTGGATATTTACTTTTAATTGCGCTGACTTGCCGAAATAAGTTTGGAAGAGAGGAAGAGAATAACGCCTTTATTAATATTTTAATTATGTTATATGAGAGGCATTATGTGTGTATAGATGATAGACAGAGAATATATATAATTGGAGTAAGCATATTTAGAAGTTAGCTAGATAGCATATAAATTAATATATAAATAAATAAAATATACATTTTTATAGATGATTTTTATTTTAATTACCAACTAACACGATTAACCAAAAATAAAAGTTAGTTCTTAACATTTTTTATATATATCTTGATTCCGATATATTTCCTAAAAACTTCTTCTACCTCGGGCCTTTAAAAGAAACTCTCAATCCCAGATTTCTACATATAGGCGCCTATTCCACGTTCAGCATCGGCGAGAGTTTCATTAGCAAGCGCTATTATAATTACTCAAAGTTAATTAAAGTGTCACATAATGATTTGCCTTCTCCCTCTTTCTCCCGCTCCCTCTCACTTTTTTGTAGCACTTGCATTGGCAGCGACAAATTGTTGCATATTCATATGGTTTAAGTTTAATTGAATTTGCATTCGATTTAATGGCAGCGCGACAGCTTATTAAATACAATTTCAATTTTAATTTTAATTTAAGCTGATTATCAACACTTTTTTTTTTTGCACTGCCAGTTGTTTAAAGTTAATGGCTAATTGTTTAAACATTTCGCATGCGTCTAAGCTATTTGAGTTGCCAAACAGTTTGGCAATCTATCAATTTATTGAAGTAACTTTGAATTGGTTTACATTTCTAGATAGTCTATTTTAACATTAATTCCAGAAATTCCAAGTATATATGGGAGTCGAAAGCTGTTTGTTGAAGTGAATAGACCACAGGAATATAGCTATGATTCTCCTTCAAGTGTGAATTCACTGTACGTCGATTGGATGCAGTAGAACGTTCTATAAATATTATCAATTAATTGGGTTTTCTATTTGTTCTATTGAACTGTAGACAAAAGTAAATCGGTTAATTGCTTGAATTTAAGCCTAGTCGATAATTGTGCTAGAAATTAAGCTTCGTTTGATGGTCCCAGACGGCAAGTGTTGCCCAATTGAAATATTTAAAGAAAAGGTAGCTTAACTTAAAATTTTCCTAAGTATATAAAAATGTAGCTGGAAAATATTTTAATTAGAGAAAAACTATTTTACAAAAAATTGTTATTATAAAAATTATTATCAATATAATAAAAAAAATAAAATAAAAAAACAAATGTATAAGATTTTTACAAGAAAGTTTTGTTATTCACCAAAACTTTCTTGTAAAAATCTTATACATTTGTTTTTTTATTTTATGAATGAAGAATGCAACAACTTGGTTTTGGGATTTTCTAAAAACTCTTCTTCTACCCTCTCTTGCCCCATAATAATTGCACTCACTTTGGCTTGTTTACTTCACTTGGTTCGTCTCTCGAGTGGCGGGAAAGAGAGATTTAGATATAGACGAACCTGGAGCACCCACCGTCAATCAGTTTGTTTTTGTGCTCTCCCACGCCTGTCTATCTCTCCATCTATCTATGTCTATATATACGAAATTTCTTGTGGTTTCACGTTTTCTCAATTTCCAGCCATTAATTTTACAATTTCCATGCAGCTTTTGTAATTGATGTTTTCGTTTTTATTACCATTTGTTGTCGTTGTTGCTGCAGCTATTTTGCCATTTTTGCGGTTTCCCTGGCTCGCTCACCACACACGCCCCTATTTGTTTTCAATTAGTCGAATCGAAAGTGAAAACATGAAAGTGTGAGTACAAATTGATTTACCAAGCAAAAGCCACACTGATTAGAGCATTCAGCATTCAGCATGATTAGCTCTAATGATTCGTCTCAGAGTGAGGCTTTATGCAACCGACTCTGACGCAGAGGCTGACGCTGACTCTTACTCTTACTCCGACTCCGACTCCGACTCTGACTGCGACTCTTGAGCTTAATTAGAGCGCCGACAACTGCCCGCATCAGTTGACAAAAAATTGTGTATAAACTCCCACCATAGCAAGCAGGCCATCACATTTAGAACACATTGAGTGAATGACGCATTTAATTGAGTCTACACTATACGAAAATGTTATCAAACTTAAAATAGAATTTTGTTAAAGTTAATTGAAAGAATTATTTTTATTACTATAAATACTACTAAATATTATGTATTAATTTATTATTTATAAAAATTAATACTTTATTTATATGATTAATATTGATTATATTTCATTTATAAAAATTTATTAATAATTTATTATTTACAAAAATTAAAACGTTATTTAAATAATTCATTTTTTAAAATTTAATTTATAAAAATGTACGCTCATTTTAATTTAATTATAAAATAATATAATAATCATTTCATTATAAATTAATTAAAATAAATTAACATAGGAATATTAATAATAATAATTAATATAATTATTATATTTAATTTATAAATATACGCATTCATTTTAATAAAAATATGTAACATATGTATAATTGGAATAAATTAAAATATTTATTTTATTCTTTATATAGTTTAAAAAAAATGTTTTTCTAATAATAAATATATATGTTATTTATATTATTATAATTTATTTATTTATTAATTTTTTTATTTTATTTATATATATATATTTTTTTTAACGATTTCTATCTTTCAATTTACAACACCAAATGTTAGCGGTTTATCTGTCAAGCTCGCATTTAGATTTCGTTGTTGTCAGCTGAGTCAAAAATTACACAAAAATTGTTTGTGAAAAATCTAAAATTAGATATTTGTGTGATAGCCCCTAAGCTTGACAGTTATGTTACCGGGGGCCAGGTCATAAAATTGGTCCGCTTGAGAAATGGTTTAACTGTTTTTAGGCCATTAACAAGTGGCGTCCGACTGCAGCATTAATATATCCCACATTTTGTAGTTTTATATCATTATATATACATATATATTTTTTTTATTGGCATTAACACTGATTGGCTGTAATTAAGTTCGACATTATTATTTTTTTATTATATTTTTATTATTGTTATAATTGTCTCATTTATTTTTTGCTTTATTTTATTTTTGATAATATGGTATAATTCAACGGAATTATAGCGTTTGCTTTAATTATGGCGCGTTTGATGTTTTTATTTGATTTTGGCGTTAGCAATAAAATGGCCAACCACAAATAATTATGCCCAACGACTTTAAATTTATTTCGATTTAGTTCTTGTCGGTTTATCAACTAATAAATAAAAAACATATTTATGCATTTACGGTTTGCGTTACGCAATTAGTTGGTGTTTAACTAATTCGAACTGTAATTTGTGGTTTGGCAAATTAGGATGTTGTGGAGTATTTGAGATTATATACCTATATATATATATATATATATATATATATTTTTTTTTTTTTTTTATAAATATTTAAATATTTAATAGAGAGATAATTTAAATGCTAGCTCTCTTTTATACCCTCCATTAAGAATGGAACTCTGGGTGTGATGGTTTTGTGCATGTGTTTGAAACGGGCGGATTGAGACGCGTAGGAACGAGACAGTGCTCAACTACCAACTACAGTAACTTTATTTTTTATTTGATAAAGTTTTTGTTTTTTTTTTGTTTTTTTGTTTTTTTGTTTATTGAAACAAACAACCTAACTATAATAGAATTTTTCACGGCAAATATATGGCATTTAAAACTAGTTTAATATAGGTTCCATAGCAAAGCGATTTATGTTCTTAGCCATTTCAAATATAAAATATCATTCAAATTTCAGATATCACAACAATGAGATCTCTTTTGCTACCAGGTAATACAGAAATCGTTAATATATTCATATCTATAGACAAAAAGTTGTAATTCTATTTTTCTTGTAATCTCTGTAGTTTTGCTTGGAATAATTCAACTAGCGGTTTCAGGTCGCAGTTGGCCGCACCTGCCAGTAGTTGGTCTAGTTGTGTAGAATTTTGTATTTCACAATAGAATGTCTACATAAAAATATATCTGAACATTGCAAGAATTGCGTATTCCTTTAGAATTTATGTGTGCTTAATTCGTAGCTGTGATAAGCTTAAGATTTAGTACATATATATGTAAAAATAAATGGGTTAGGCATCTATAAGAAAGGCTTATACCATTGCGAATATGCATATCAATTGAATTAGCTACTGTTTTCTATAGGCAGCTTTAGATATGTGAGTATAAAATAATCTTAAGCACATCATAAAATCTCTTTCTTTATTGTATACAAATATATTTATATATATTATTTTCATATAGGGCTGTGGATCGAACTAGTTTTGCATATTCAATGACCTTTCATATAAAGATTGGACTTCAGCAATTTGTTGGCGGAGTCATTCGCTGGTTCTCACAGACGTGTTAACATGCAAATTGATATGTGAACAGTGACAATACATAAATCCATATTATTGATGATATATATGTAACCGACAAATAAAGCCTAAATCGTTCTTTATTTGCCGAACGTGTTTAAATCACATCTGTTAATGATATGCTCCCAGACAGCGGATGAGCCCGGCCATGACTACCAACGTGTCTTCGGCTCTGGCTCAGCGCTTGCTCAGCTCTTGCCTCTGCTATTGATCAATGAATGTGGTCTATGGATATTCCCTTTACCTCTCTTCAGCTGCCGCTGCTGCTGCTTCCGTCCTCTACATTGTGCTGTGGTTGAGTTTGGTTTTTGTTTTGTTTGTATGTTTTTTTGTTTTCTTTGTCGCCTTCAAGTTTACAGAGATTGGTAACTTCATTCATAAAACTTGTTGTAGCTGTCGCTTCCTCTTTGTAAGTGATTTTTTTTTTTGCCACCACCACCCTGTGCGCTTTAGCATTCTGTTACTCTTGCATGGGGTATCTCAAGTTCGTCACATGAGAGGTTTCACATCGTGGATAGCTGAGAATCCGGGAATCCGCTGAGAAGCCTGGGAAGCTATCTCGGATATAGCTATAGCTGCAACTGTTTACAATTCAAACATACTTTGCTTTCTGCTTAGAGTATACGAGTTTCGACTAAATTTGCTAATCTTTCGCTCTTTTGTTTTTATACAAATCCGGTCAGGGGCTCCATGTCTGGGAATAGCATCTGACTGCCATGCCCCAGTGAACAGTTGAATTCGATATAAGCTCAGTTTTCAAGCCAATTTGCAACAGAATATTCGGCCGTGACCGACTGCCTAATACTCCTCTATAGTAAGTGATTTTCCAATTTACTATTACTCTATAGTTAGCAATATATAACACTATAATCCAGTGTTGAACAATAAAATGATACTGTTCAATTTGTTTTCAAATGCAATTTATTTATTGCTCATGCTGATTCGAATACATAATGTATATATATTAGGGTATACATATATATATGAATGTATGTATATATAAGTATGTGTGCGCTTTAGCTTTGCATGTGGTAGTGTGCATTTACCTGACGCTGCTTATTGCTCGCTTCCTTAGACAACCAAGACCTGCTGGTCGGCTGCACCATCGGCACCGACTTCATTCAAATTGGGAGCCGCATCTACAGAAGGAGCAGCCTGACTTGGATAGGCGGCATTTCCTGGCAAATTGCTGCTGCTTGGAGCTAAGCTGTGGACTACGACTGGAGCTGCATCCTTCGCATCGGCATCCTGTAGACTGACACGGTATGGTGGATTGGAGGTGTCCGCTGTGGTACCTAAGAGCTCATCATTGAGCAGCAAATCGGTTTGATTTGGCGCTGGATTGGCAGCTGGCTCCTTTAGATTTGCCACTGGATTTGGCGCTGAACTGGATGCTGGATTGGCTTCTGGATTGGCTGCTGGCTTGGCATTGGCAGCGGACGCTTCTGGATTCGCCGGCGGCACCGGTGTACCGTAAACGCTGTGCAACAGCGCAAGTGTTGCCACTATGAGAATCACCGAGACTGTTTTTAGTTTATTATACGTTTGACTAGATCTATTTGTTACTTTACCGCATGCAAACAGAACAGCTGCTAGAAGTTTCATGTTCTTCTTACGGAATGTCTCTGACTGTTGCCCAGCATCGCTCCGATCGCTTTTATACAGGCAAATGGAGAGCATTGGGACGGGCCCAAGTGCTCTGGCAATAATCAATTAGAGTTTATAGCCCGTCATAATTGCTGATAAGATGGCCACTAAATTGAGCCTTGCGAAAGTGCATTTTGCTATGCTCGACTTCAAAGTCATTTCAATTACCTTCCATTCTGATAAGAAACAGAAGCATCGAGGGGAAACTTAAGAGGAAAACAAATTGCAGTTCCTACAGTAAAATGCATATACATAAAATGCAAATACATATAGAGGAGAGAAAGACCGAAATATACGCATGATTCGCAAACATATATCAGCTGTATAAAACTTATTGATAAATCTTTGATAAAGAATTGAGAACTAAAATAAATGAAATATGCCTGTAGTTTCCTATACCAAATAATTATGTTTTAATAAGTCTTTGATATAGAATTGGATGCATCTGAATATAAAATAAATACATTCATACATATGTATATTCCTCTATACGAACTGTCTATTCAATTAATTGTTTTAATTGTATCTTAAATCTTTGATAAAGAGCTTGATGAATTGATCTAGTAGAAAATAAAATTAAATAAAATACATATATTCCCCTTTACAAAATAACTAATCATTTATGTTTTTTTTTTTTTTAAGTATAACTCGAATAAGTCTTTAATAAAGAATAAAAATAAATAAAATACATATATTCCCCTTTACCAAATAATTATTGAATTAAGGTACCAAGGTATTTTAGATATATAAACATTGACTTTCAACCCTTAGGATTTCACCTCATAGATGTAATTAAGCTCAAAATTTCGTATTGAGATCGAGAGAATGTAGTGTAGTATTCATTAAAAAGAAATCCTAAATTGATTGAAATTGGAGTTTCATGCGGCAAAATGACTTTTATTTTATTTTATTTTATCTTATTTTTTTTACATATCCTTTCAACTAAGTAGGGTTTCATAGTTCAAATAAAATTCATCTACAGCATATTGTGAACTTGATTTTTATTTAATGCGTAAGACAATCATAAGCAATTGTTTGCCCTCTAAATGTCGTCAGAGATCTTATACGGAGGTTTGTGGGTTGTTGAATTATTCTCATGATTCCATGGCTCCTTGATGGCAAGTTTATCGGCAGGTGAGGCCTGAACGAGATCATTAGTTGACAGCTGGCTGAGCAGCGCAACTTTATGGATAAAGAAGAAACAGAGCTCAGTAAAGTAATTGATGTAATTGAGAGCTGGTGCACTGACTTACTCAAACAAGCCAAGAGCAGCGATACGAGTTTCATTTCTGTACTGTAACTGAGTAGCAAATGCGTTTCGTATGTTTCTTTTGCTCTTTATATGACATGTTCACAGCATTCTCAAGCTATAAAATCAATTGAAACACTTTGCATTTTTATAGCAAGTGACTTTTATGGCGTCGTTTCTTTAGGGGAAATAAACACAATTTTTATTGGAATAGCAATGGAAATATTTATTATTAACTTGATATCGTTAAATTGAAATAAAATATTAATTGAAAATTTTTATTTTTGCTAATCTACTAGCAAAAAAATAAAACTAAATAAATAAAAAGAAAGTCTTTTTTTTTTTTTTTTTTTTTTTTATTATTATTATTATTAGTCAGATTTATTGAAACACTGTTAGTAATTGTCGATAGTCGTATAGAGCTTAGACTCTCAAGAATCATTTCTCATTAAGGAATGCAGGATACCTGATTGAATGATGACTGGAAGAACTCAATAAGCGGGGCTGTCTATAAAAATGCTTTTCGTATAGTCGGCCATATCCCAATAATGTTAATTGTTGTATAACAGACAATGGTAAGGGACGCTCCTCATAAACTGGAAATTCGAAACCACCTGATTGGATAATGTTACCACCAAATTGACCTCCACCTCCTCCTCCTGTCGCCTGATTATTACCATGTACATCTATTACAATTGTTGGTTCTGATGGTCCCTCCGTTGGGAATAATAAAATCTCTGGTGGTTTTTCAGTTGAGACTTCAATAATATCTATTGGCTTTTCAGTTAAGACTTCAATCATTTCTATTGGTTTTTCAGTTGAGATTTCAATAATTTCTATTGGGTTTTCAGTTGTGACTTCAATATTTTCTATTTGATGTTCAGTTGTGACTTCAATACTTGCTATTGGGGTTTTAGTAACTTTTGGTGGTTCTTCAGTATGCACTTCGACAAAGTTTGTTACCGCTGTCAGTTCTGCATCTTCTGTTATTGATTCTGGCAGGTTGGATGCTTCTGTTAATAAATCTGGCACTTCTGTAAATGATAATGATTCCTCTGTTGTTTCTGTTTTTAATGCTTCTTCAGTTGTTACAACTTTCGGCTTTTCTGTTACTTGGTGCCCCAAATATATGGGTAATAACACGGGACTTACAATAGCAATGGGTAATATAACCGGGGATGCTTTCAATTCGTGTGGATGTTTAGGTAGTCGCTTGAAACGTATATTTACCGTAGCCACTTCTTTTCGAAGTTTGCTTAAGTTGGCTCTCTCCCATCTGGTCAACAAATAATAATACTTTCGAGTATACGAACTGAGATATAATTTTAAACGAGTTAGCGCTAGAGCTAGAAAACGTCTTTCTTGGACTGACAGCTTTTCGTTCTGTCCATAATTCTCTCGGTGATTTTCATTTAATTTAGATACCAATTCTAGGACACTTTTCAAGTCCGGTTTCTGCTGGATGTTCCAGAGATTCAAATCATTGTTAGAATTAGCTACCCCTGATCCATATAGTTGAGATAGACTTTGTTTTATAATAGATGTTAAATATGGTTCAGCTGTTAAGTTTTTAAATGCATCTTGTGTTAATTGTCCTTGTAAGGACGTCAATAAATTTTCCACGTTTGGCTTTGGCTCACTCTGTTGAGAACTAGTTTCGATGGTTTTATATAGTTGATATATACCATCTCGGACAGTATTGAAATTATTTTCCTGTTGCTTATTCAAAGAGTGTGGACTCTGTTGTGAATGAGCCTTGAGATATTTAGATAGTACAGATAGGCTTTTCTTTAGCAACTGTGCTTCACTTTGCTTTTTCTGCGATTTCAAGAATCTCCTTTTTAGTCGCTTTGCTCTTTTCAATTGATTCCAAATATCATTTGGATCTGATGTACCTTTCGGAAAAACTGCACTTAAAAATTCTACACAGTCTCCTTGCTGTAGAAGTTCTAACAGTTCATTATCGCTATGCCGATCTCTTGTTCTATATAGTTGCTCTATATCTATGGGATACGGATATGGAATTGGATGCACATTGTAGTCTATTATTTGCTTACCTACAACCTTCTCACCGGTCACCAATTCCAATCCGGAAGACTTGCTTAAGGCCGAGTCATTTGATGACGCTTTCACAGAATCATTCCTCTCTATTACTGCATCAGTAAAATTACTCGATGCGTCATTGGCAGAAGAAAAAGCATAAACTATTTCCATTATTATTAAGTATACATTGGGCTGGAAGTTTGCTGGAATTACTTACAGAGGATATGGAAGAGTAAGAACGTGCTTAGAAACATCGTTGCCATCTTTTGGGATTGGACTCTGGTTATTTTATTTGGTATTCTTGGTTTTGTAGCCTTTGCTGGATCAAAGCGTATCCATTTGTATTTGCTATGGAGGTGGACTAAATGCTTAGATGATATTTGAGATGGACATGATTAAATTAGTAAATTTGCTATGACAACCACATTCGTCATGTGTTTGGATATCTTATATAAGCATTCGAATTTCCAAGTGTCCTTGAATGTCACGTTGAGTCACAAATGCTTCATTCTTTTCTGATCACCAATATCACATATTCGAATCAATCGATTAAATAACAACAATATATTTATATCAATATTTAGAGTTTGTTTGTCAAAACATAACCTATGCAGGGCATAGAACCTGAGATCCATGCGCATATTGTATATATTTCTGTTATTGGATTCTCCTGAAATTGAAAGATTCCCCAATTGAGACTTGGACTTTGGAAACATTGGGTGTCAGTATTATACTGGGCAACTTTCATTTTCATCTTGAGCAGAAGCTTGACAGCTACATATCAAATCCATGACCTAATCAACCTATATTTAATTGCTTTGAAATCAAATCGATTCTTTGTTGAAGTATAACTCATTTCAAAATGTCACACAATACTTTTGCGATTTCAGATTATATTACCTTGAAATAATAATACTTATAATAATTATAATACCTTGAAAATCGTAAGTTATTAGGTTGCTAAAGGCTTGGGCTATCCCGCGTTTTTCGGGATGCCCCTTTCCACAGGCACATAAGCTACTGTTGCCTCTTAATTCTTAATCGACAGATGAGTATGTGATATTAGTTATCAGAAAAGAATGAAGCATTTGAGACGCAACGTGACATTCAAGGCCACTTGGAAATACGAAAACTTATATAAGATATGCGGCCACATGACGAATGTGGTTTGCATAGCATATCGACTAATTGAATCATGTCCATCTCAAATATCATCTAAGCATGTAATCGACCTTTCATAGCAAATATAAATGGACACGCTTTGATCTAGCGAAGTCTATAAAACCAGATGATCAGAAGGAATAACCAGACTCCAATCTCTAACGATGGCAACCATGTTTCTATACACGTTCTTACTCTTCCAAATCCTCTGTAAGTACATGAAAGTGATTTGGACATAATAGTCCTATATATATTTAATAATTATAATGCTCGAAATAGTTTACGCTGTTTGCTCCGCCGGCGATGCACCGAAAAGTGGAACTGATGAACTAAAATTCGGAGCTGAACTAGGTGAACCAGTGCTTTATCCAGGACAAAACACTGAACTACCAAGGACAGCACCGTATAGGGATGAGGGATGGACTTTAGACCCTGGATTTACTCGTCCTGGTAAATGATTTCTATATAGAAAGCGCCAAACAGCAAGCTGTGCCGAAAACTTCATTAAAAAACTGTTTTCACATTGGCAATTACAATAATAAATATGCATTGACTAAAGAGTTCTCCCAGGTCTTTCGACAGTCATGGGCATAGC